CTTTTGTAGCATGACCTCTAATCTTCAACACTTAGGACCTAATGTGCTGCGAGTGCCGTAAAATTTTCACTAAAACTAAACTAAACTAAACTAAACGTTTCAGATTATAAAATAGACCAATAGAAGCATCTATAAAAACAAGGAAGTTCTGTGTCTTTTTCTTAAAATATCCAGCACGTGTTACTCTTTGAAAAGGCGAACTCTGGCCATTCTAGAACTCCAGGATAGGAGAAACGCTGTTTAGGGGTACTTTATTAACGAAGAAGCATATTATCTTCTTTCTTTAACGCTATTCAAACATGCTTTTCAATCTCGTTTTTTTCTTTAAAATCTGAAACTTTTTAAAAAAGCGGGCAAAAAGAGACATACCATGGAGTATGATGGTTGGAAATGTACTTCAACAATGTCTTTGGTAGTGGTGGCAAAATCCGGATAACAGGATAATAATTCTCACAGAAATATTATCCAAATTCAGAATCTTAACTCTCTTTCCTATCCCGTTTGTAAAAGTGTTTCTAACCGATTTGCAGTAGCGGTTCATAACAAATTTGCCGTGGAGGTGCACTTACAATTCTATTATCCGGATGTTGTTAAAGCGACTCATTGCCCAGCTCTAGTCTTTAGTCTGCAGCAGGTCGGACAGATCTTGTGACCGCTTCGTTCTTAAAGAGTTAACGTTAATCCGCGGACTGGCCGGCCACTGGACAGACGGTACCGACCCGGGACAAGCAGACGACAGGCGGCACAGAGTTAGCTCAGAGACAGGCGGCACAGAGTTATGTCAGAGACAGGAGGCACAGAGTTAGCCTGGAGACAGATGGGGCAATCATTTCTGTAAGATTGTAATCAGTGGTTGTTTTGGGGGTTTTCTTTAAGTTAGTTCACCATACGCACAGCTCAGACACACGCGGACGATATATGGCACATATTTATCAGCTCAGAGACGAACAGATGACAGGGAGCCCAGAGTTAGCCGAGGACACCGATGGTGTGGTGCAATCCTTTTCGTATGATTGTGATCAGTGGTCACTTTGGGGATTTTAAACGTCTTCTCATCATAGGCACAGCTCAGACACATGCGGGCGATACAGGACACAGAGTTGTCAGCTCAGAGACAAACAGACGACAGGGAGCACAGAGTTAAGTCAGAGACAGATGTTGTGGTGCAATCATTTTCATATGATTGTGATCAGTGGTTGTATTGGGGTTTTCTTTAAGCTTGTTCACCACAGGCACAGCTCAGACACACGCGGACGATACAGGGGGAAGAGTTATCACTTATTATCAGCTCAAGAGACAAACAGACGACAGGGGGCACAGAGTTAGCTGGGAGACAGGTGGGGCAACCCTTTCTGTATGATTGTAATGAGTAGTTGTTTGTTCACCATAGCTAC